CCCCCCCCTTTCAAAATCCTGGCTACGTCCCTGTAAAGAGCCATAATCAAGATTCAACTAGATACATATTTCTAATGTGTCCGGTATATTATATATTTATGAGTATATGGCTCTGACTCTATTAGTGCCATTCTACACCAGGATGTATTGTTTAATTGAGGCAGCATGATCTGTATTTTTATCACCTGTAATATGTTGCAACAGAGCAAATTAAATTGTGTGCACCGTCAGTTTAAAGGTTGATATATATAATTCTTGGAGCAAAACCCCTCGTTGACATATATAAAATGGTAACGATAATAATACAGATAGAAGTAAGTTTAATGGTACAGATAATAATAATAATAATAATGATAATAATAATAATAATAATAATAATAATAATAATATTAACAAAAATGAAAATAATAATAATAATAATAATGATGATGATGATGATAATAATAATAACAATAATAATAATAATAATAATAATAATGGTGATGATGATGATAATGATAATGATGATGATAATGATAATAATAATAATAATAATATTAATATTCATAATTTATACTTGGAACCCGTAAGCCGTTTATTCTAAAGGCCGATAATAACAAAAATGAAAATAATAATAATAATAATAATAATAATAATAATAATAATAATGATGATGATAATAATAATAATAATGATGATAATAATAATAATAATAAATAATAATAATAATAATTAATAATAATAATAATAATTAATAATAATAATAATAACAATATTAATAATAATAATAATAATAATAATAATGATGATGATAATAATTGGTAAAATTTCTGAGCCTGCGTAACAGCGATTTCTGTGCTGCTACATTAATTAGTTGGGTTTGACGTGTGAAATCAAACGTACCCTTTCTATACAAGTATTATAAAAGCACGTGAATCATAATAACCTTGCCTTTAGTGACACGGGAAGTTACTATGAAGTCCACAAATCGGTAAGTTTAAAAAACCCGTTTTATTTATGTAATACCCCTGATTAACAATAAGCACTCGAGTAATGTAAAAAATACGTAACATTATTGAAAAAAAAGTAAAAGAAAAAACATTACACACATCTAAATTCGAGCATAGTGCACTCCAAGTACCGTTTGGTTTCTTTATCAACTGAGCATACCTTAACTGATATTCGGGTAAGTTGTTTTCAAATAATTTTTTTAAACAAATAATTTATTAATTATCAAAAATTATAGATAAATAAATCTTCAAATCTCCTAAGGTTAGGTAAACGTATTAATTGGTAACGTAATGTGTAAATAGAATGTGCATGTATTACTATTGGTCTTAAGTTGTCATCTGGGCAGACTGTCAGTAATCCTACAACTTGTACCATTCGGTTTTTTTTCATATCTACAAAAATGTGTTTTATCCTTTTATTTATACACAACTCAAGGTATACTGTATGCTTCAAGTTTATTCACTCTATTTTTCATAAACTGAAATTATTTGGCATCTTAGGGTCTATCATGATGTGATGCTGGTTTTTTGTATTTAAGGGACCCGAGGGAGAACTCTATAGAACAGAGTAGATTCCAGGTAGATCATAAAACCTGAATTAATGAATTGGGGGCGAAGTAATTCGCTATATACAGACCAGTATATCACATGAGCAGCACCAGTGTTGAGTATAATAGATGGGAAGAAGTTAGGGATGGTTGGGTGAAGAGATTGATGCAGCGAGGTGCTGTTACAACAACGATACAAGATAAATTACAATGTAAAACCGGAGCTCAGCTCTAGTTTATTGACTAATGATGATTGGGTAAATCTCTTTATAATTAGCATACCGCCCAATTACTGTGCTTTAGACAGTGGTTTATATCATACCTCTATGGGAGACAGTTTTCTGTTCCTTTACCGCTATTGAACCTGTTAATGGTTGATCGGCCAGCTTGTGGTAGGACATTTATATTCCTTCTTGCTTAGAATAAGACACTACACAGAAGACACACCTAAACCACAATCACTTGGAAAGAATGTGTTAGTATAAACTGTACGCTTGTGTATAAACTATAATTTAACACCTTAAATTTGCTTTAGTATGATATTGATTATTAATCGTTAATATCAACTTTTTAACAAACAGGAGATGTTTAGCTAAATATATTCATTGGGTATTTTGGATCAATGGTACGGTAGTATTTATTTTAACATGTTTTTTTCATATTATTCTTTGTTATAAACAAGTTTAGAACGCCAACTCATATATTTGTGTTTGACATCCCATTTGCGTAAAAGGCTGAACAAATCGATTTTCCAGTGTCAACGATGAGGCACACACAACTGGTGCAGTATATTTTTCTGCTGCTCCTTTGTGCCAAAACGTTTTCGATACCTGCTTGCAATTATCGAATATGCAAATTTTATTCGATATCAAAAGACCATGTGCTGATAACTAACGATGACTTAATAATCATAGTTTCGTCACCGAATGCATTTCGATGTGCTTCATACTGTTGCAACCAGTCTAGTTGCAAATCCATAAACTATTATCCAGGACGCTGTGAGCTGTTGACAGTTCATGTAGAAGTACCATCTAAACTGGCCTTCAGTAACACGGGAAGTTACTATGAAGTCCACAAATCGGTAAGTTTAAAAAAAAAACTCGTTTTATTTATGTAATACCCCTGATTAACAATAAGCACTCGAGTAATGTAAAAAATACGTAACATTATTGAAAAAAAAAGTAAAATAAAAAACATTACACACATCTAAATTCGAGCATAGTGCACTCCAAGTACCGTTTGGTTTCTTTATCAACTGAGCATACCTCCGACAATGAGGTTATATATTAATCGCTGTTTAGGGGAAAAGGTCAAAGAACAAAGTCAAACCACATAAATTTGAAGATGATTTTAATATTACCTCTAGAGCAAAAAAAAAAAAATTTATAAATAAAAAGTAATGGAATCGTGTCGAGTAACAGTTGTGTGGTGTTAATTTAGTTGTGAGTGTCTTAATGTTAAGTCCTTAAAAAAACAAACAAATAAAACAAAAACCCGAAAATTGCTTTAGCTAAAATTGTTTGAAATATCCAAGGTTTAAATTCCATGATTTGTGTATTCTTTCTATTTTTTGTGAAGAGTGGTGTCTGCAATAATACAAATAATCTTCAGATATCGAATGATTCAACAACGGAAACACCAGGGTACACTGGAAATTCCTACAGTGATTGCATTAATAGTTCTTACTCAGAACCCGTAGATATCCCACCTTTTACAGGTAATAAATTAGTTATGAAAAGAAACATAATATGGTTATTTTTTTCAATTATTATTTGTATATATTAATAACATAAAATTCTAATTAATTGATTTAATTAATCAATTTATGCTGATTGAAATTTTAATATTAATTGTAAATAATAAATAATTAAATTTTTTTTGTAATTTTTCTCTAATGGTAATTGCTGGTTTTATATTTCTGTATTTTTCTTCATTGATTTTATGTAAGCTCTTCATTTCAACCTTGAATTGTATTTTGAGCCTTTTTATACCTGAATAAATAAATAAATAAAAAATAAATAAATTATTTTGTATTACTTCTATTGTTGAAGTTCATTCTTATTATCGAATCGATTACATTTATATTTTGCATGATACCATACTTTCAAATTCATACTGTATGTAGTAAAATCTATAAAATAAACAAATAAAACAATTAAAACATTGCGCCTGCCGATGGTCGTTACTGGTCGTCGAATCTATCTAAAAAACAATTGTGCTGTAGATTGTTACGTGGGCATATCAACTGGTGTTGTACCAAAATCATCATTTAGTGCTTCATCGTTTCAAGAACTTGCACACTTTAGTCAACTTGGGTGCAAGCAAGCTGTTGATATAGGGGGCTGGTTTGCAAGTGGCGTAAACGATTGGATACTGGTAGGCTGTTGTTGCAGTTACATTTTTTTAGTTTGTCTTTATGCTATTATTCGCCTTTGTCTTGCTTTCATTTTAACATTGGCCTAAGTATACTCTGAATCTTCATCTTCGTGTTTAACTTCATGTTCGTCGTTTCTATCACGCTCGTCTCTATTATTTGGTTTATCTTTTCCTTTTTCATTTTATTATAGGCCTATGTAAAAAAAAAACCCAGTTGTCCTTAAGTGTAGGAGTTTATAGTTAGAGGGAGACCTGTATTAATTTGATCGAAGACATTCTCAAATACCACCAACGTTTATAAATTGCAGTACAAAAGCCCGGGATGTAAAATGGCCTGGTGGTGAAAAGCTGGGGTGGGGGTGGGGTGGGGACTGAATATTTCTTGTGGGAAAAGGTCGGATGGCAACGGGCCAGGTGGCTACTGACTTTAAACCTATTTCTAGCAGTGCATGTAAATTACCTATGACCGGGACACAGTACATGGACAGCCAATAATCAAACGACCAACCGACCGACCGACCGATCGACCGACTGATTAATCGACCGACCAACCAATCACTCAATCGACCGACCAACCAATTAATGGATTGATCGAACGATCAATCAGTCAATCTCAAACCAGAAAGCTGTCATGATTAAACAATCAATTATTAGTTATTTGCGTCAATCAATAAAACAGGCCTATTTATCTACAATTTCTAACGTCCAAATTGTAAACTTGGATCGGATACCGTGCTAGAATATAATATACAGCACTACTAATCATTCATTCATTTACACCTTAAACATTACAAAAAGGACGGTTTAAATTTTGCAAGGTTAAAAGACTGCACAATTTTACATGAAAGATCAAGCCAATAATTAGGACCAGTTATTCTGTAGAAGGGGATATATAAAGATGAAGAGCCACATTGTTTGATTTTAATCTATATTATACTATATTATATTACATTATATTAATAGGCATTATAAATTAAACTTCTATTTTGAATTATCTTTATGTAAGTCAATTTAATATCTTTAAGACTTGTTATGAGGATTATTATTGTTATTATTATTATTATTATTATTATTATTATTATTATTATTATACTTATAATGGTCACATTATTAAGAAGACACAACAATAATTGTTACTTAACCAATATCCTGAGGCGCGTGGAACGGAGAGAGTAGAGAAAACAGTAGAACTTATACATACTGTTTGTGGTGCTGAACTAATAATAATAATTCAAATAATAAAACATTAAATAGTTAAACCGTTATTAAATTTTTAATTATTGGTCATGTTGTAACTTCAGCCGTTGTCTTTCAAACCATTTAAATTATCGTAGCAAAAAGTATAAAAACTAACTTGTGTTTTTAATGAAAGTTAATCACTTGTAAATTATAAATGCTTGAAAATGTGTAGTTCAATGGTTTGATTGAATGTGTGTGGAATGGGAATTGAATATATGGCGTAGACCTATGTTTAAGAAAAAAATACAAAGTATAGGCCTATGTAGGCCTAAAAAAAAACAAAGGTTACTTTGTATTTGGTCACGGAGGGCTATATCTGAGGATTTTTCAAATGAAAGATAGGGGGTAGCTAAAAAAGTACTTGCTATTCAGTGAATTGTATGCTTTTAAATGTAGTAAAAGGATCAGATATCTTAATAATTATTTGCCAGTAAAACCATCCCCATGAAGGTAGCCCTAACAGCGTGCCGTTTGGTGGGTTTTGCTAACAAGCCTGTATTCTTTGGTCAAATAGTCCCTTTTTGTATTCACACCAAGTTTATAGGCGTTGAAATCGACTAGCATTTAAACTTCCAAAATATACTACAGTACCGAACATTTTAAATCATGTGAAATCATATTTACTATATATCTCTTTATTATGTTTTACTCATCAATATACTAGGTAGCATTTACTCTTCCTGTTATCAATTATTGGTTGTTGTTTGATAATAATTATCTTGTAAAACTTATAAAAATATATTTAAAAGAATAAACGCATGAAAATGAAAATTATGTTTATATGTTTCAACTGATCACCTACATGAGCTAAAATATATAATCATGCTGGCGAACTGTTTTTGTTTATAGACACAGTTTTGTCTGAATCATGCATACATGATCAATAACGAGGTCACCGACAAAAACAAACCATAATAAATTTAACTGATGTCAATAAAAATTTTATAGGCTTAATAGTAGTTGATGTTGTCAATAACCATGATAATTCTATTTATTATGAAGTATTTTAACTAGCTCTACCATAGAAAAAACATTTTATGACAAAGTTAATGTCTTCTCAATGGTTCTACTGTGCTCTTTAAATAGCTTATTATTCTCTAATTTAGACTAAATTTATGGTTGAAGGCGCAAGTCATACTAGTCACAAGTTCATATTTTTGTATATATACCAAAGAGTATAAATATCTATTTATACTCTTTGTATATACCCATGCGCAAGTTGTGGATGTATGGAATCCTTACTCTAATTTGAGTAACAGAACCAAGTAATTTTTGAACGCTATAATTATTAAAATAGATATTCATATATGTTGGATTTGGAATTAGGATAACACAGAAATATAATGACATAGTAATTTTTTTTAAAATTATGATTGCTATTTTGGTCGTGTTCCAGGTAGACTTAACAGCGCCCTTTATTGTATATGGAATTATAACGCAAGGCGGTGCTTGTTCTTCGACTGTCGATTGTTCAGATATCACACATGACGGCAGCAGCGGCTACATGTATTATATAACCTCTTTTAGAGTCGAATGGACAATTGACCTTTTATCATCCTGGTCAAGTTTTCTAAATCCTTCAAACAATTCACAGGTATTAAAACTCCGTTATATAAAATTATACCGTTCAATCGAAATGCATCTGTAATAATATCATTTAAGGTGTTAACCGATAAAACTCTTTAAAAACCGTGATGACTAATGATGATGGAATTGCTGATGATTAGGTTGATTAAACGGTCGTAATTATAATTATTATGATATAGATTCGTTTTTATGACTATTCTGCTGCTAATAATAATAATAATCAGGATGATATGAAGAAGATTATGATAACGATGGTTGTTATGATTATGGTTTTCTTAAGGAAGTCAGATCTTCTACTATGATGATGACTATTGCAATACAGAGAAAAACACCTGACATACCGAATTCAACGATAAAATAATTATTGAATATAGAGTACCTTGAATTATGGCCTATTTGAATTTCGAGTAACTGTATATAATTTAAAATATATACCGTATCATATGTTTTTTGTAAAGCTATTAAATTACATTTTCTTTTTTCTGGTTTTGTTTTTATATTCCAGGTATTTGCAGGAAATATTGACAATACCACACCTTTAATAAATTGGTTCGCTAATCAAGAAATTGCAGTATATGTAAAAGTAACGATCAACACATTTTCAAATAGCCCTGCTCTGCGTTTTGAGCTGTTGAACTGCTCATCGGGAGATGATTCCGTGACTGATGCTCTACAGGTTGATGGTAGTGTTAACAGCGAAGACACTGATGTTCATGATGACAATAATAATAATGACTATAATGATGATGATGATGATGATGATGATGATGAAGATGACAATCATGGCAACGACAATGACAGTGATACTGAAGGTTATGACAATGACGATGCTAACGACGATGACAACGGCGTTCACAACGAAAATGATGATGAAGTAAATCAAGATGACGACAATGACGAAAACAATGAAGATAGCGATGGTGACAACGATGGTAGCGACGAAAGTAACAATGACGACGATGATTATTAAAGCGATAAAGGTAACGATGACGACGATGATGATAGCGATGAAGACGACAATGACGACGATAATGATGATAGCAATAAAGGTAAAGATGACAACGATGATGATAGTGAAGAAGGTAACTATGACGAGGACGACGATAATGATGATAGCGAAGAAGGTAACGATGACGACGACGTTGATGATAACCATGAAGGTAACGATGACGATGACAATAGCGATGAAGGTAATGATGATGAAGATGATGATGATAGCGATGAACGTACCAATAACGACGACGACGACGACGTTGATTATGACAGCGATGGAGCTTACGATGACGACGGTGAGGACGATAGCTGTGAAAGTAACGACGATGATGATAGCGATGAAGGTAAATATGACGACGACGATGATGATGATAATGATGATGATGATGATAGCGATTAAGGTAACAATGATGACAATGATTATGGTAGCGATGAAGGTAACGATGACGATGATAGCGAAGAAGGTTCCGACGACGACGACGATGATGATGATAGCGATGAAGGTAACGATGACGACGATGATGACGATAGTGATGAGAGTGACGATTATGATTATAGCAACGATGAGGATGATGATTAATGTTAAGAATACTAGATATGAAGATTATATTCATGAACATAAGTGTATGTCGTTTAAGATTGTAAAATGACAAGGATTACGTTTGGAAATAAAAATAGAAATATTTTTGTTTTGCTTTTTAAAGAATTAACTGCAGGATACATTATCTAATAAACTAAAAAGGCAATTACAGATTTAAAAAATTCCTTACCTAATATTGTATTGGGATAAATGACATAGGCCTACTATGATTTTTTAGGAAGTATTCTAATTTGTGGCTACTGTGTTGTTTAAAAACATTACTTGTAAATCATCATTATTCCTGATGATGCTTAAATAAAAGCCATGGCAATTTTTAGAGTGACATTCTTACTATTACTTGTAAACAAAAAAATGATAGGCTCAATAACCGTCAAATGCATTATAAACAAAATGTTGGTCATGATTTGGATTCACTAAAGCCTGTCTGTAATAATATGTGTCACATTGTGTAATAACCAAAATCATCTATTAATTTAATTTAAAAAAAATCAAAACATCAAGCAGACTTCTAAACCCTCAAAGAGTAGTGGATGCTGAAATAGTCTGGTTTTAATTAAATCCATGCAATTGAGAATTATTATTTGCTTTATAAACTTTGTAAAAAAATATAGTTGTTGAGGATGCCTTGCCGGGCTGAAAAAGCCTCTACATATTATGCCAGAGTTCTCTTTCTGTTTCTGGATTCCAGCTCTGCATTTTCAATACTATACAGCCTCACTTATTAGTTGATAAATTGAAAGCTATATAATTATGTTAACCATAGATTGAATTTCTGGATTTCTGGCTTTTTACATGAGAGATCTCAAGCTGTAAAATTTAATAACAAGACTTTCAGTAAACCTGTGCAATGCAGGCGCTTTTCTGGTGTGTGTTCTTTTCCCCATTCCTGCTTAGAATATATTAAAGTGATTTTCATGTGAAATACAGACGATACGTGTCTTATTAGACTTAGACTGGACACGATGCGATATGGCATATCACAGTTAATCACAGAGTATATATGATTTGGGACGTTTGCACTCTTATTGGGCATATTACAAAGTTCACAATTGTCTTACGAATAATTTCCATGTAAACATGTCTAACTCCCACTGTAATTATTAAGAAAATGTCTAAACACATGTTTATCAACACAGTGGCCTTATATTTTATTTCTTCTTTACCCTGGGTAACCTTTCAATGCAAACGCATTGTTATTTTCCAGGGCCCAGCGACCTATTAATAGCTCATAAGTTAGTCTCAATGGTAAGATTGTTAACACCTTTAGGAATGAGTTTAGTAAGAGCTGATGTTGAACAGTTTTTGCCACTTAATTCATTCGAGATATTTGACTTTTTACGATAATACTTTTCTTTTGCAATGGCGAGTAATTTAGCGGCTTCTGTCTGTCCACTTTCTGCCACCATCTGTGCAAGAAACCCGTCCCTTTTCTGAAGCAATACGAATGGCTCATCAAATTCAACACATTTTCCTTGTTCAAGAATCTAAGAAAGTAGAAAATACCAACAGATAACGTTTTTATTCCAATATCAGGCTATATAGTCAGCAGTCATGCTTTAAATTGGAAGTCTCGAATTTTGGTAGACTAGCTTGTACAGTAACTACTTTACTTTTGTCACTACTCTCGTCTGTCCACAACAGGGTTTGATGGACCAGCACACTGCAGTAACGCCATACTCGTCTCAAAAGATGCACTGGGTTTTTTAAAGTGCACTTAAGCCAATTGTGCACACTGGGCCTAAGGTTTATAGTTCTTATCAAATAACATTTGTTCCACCACCAGACCCATAGGCGAGCGTCCGCTCCAACCAGAGCTAATATTATGCGTTTAAGTTGTTGCGACTATGCTACATCCGCTCAATCATACGAGAAATAATATCGCGTAAAAATAACAGTTAATTTGATTATATTTTTATTTTTGACATCGAAAGGTGTCTATAACTACTAATACTTAGTAATAAAAGAATGCATTTACCAGAATACGATCCGAGTCCATAATTGTTTTCAGCCTATGTGCAATTGTTAAAACGGTGCAATGTTTAAACCTCTGACGAATTTTTGCCTGGATAAGGGTATCAGTTCTATTAAAATGAACAAATAAATTGCCTAATATATTTTTGGACATAACAAATTCAATACTAAAACAAACATATTCAACTCCCATTACTTGGTTAGGCCTACTATATTATAATATAAATATACACAGATTAACAAAGTTGTAATGCATATATTAACTTTGACTTTCAAAATAGTCCTACTTGATAAAAAGTACCAACTGTTACATTAAGTATTCATAATTAGCCTAATTATGATCAGTTTTAGTTACTTGTATTCTAAAATTTATATATTAATTTTAAGATGTAACGCAAAAAAAGGCTGTAAAAATTTAAAATTGATAAATGAATTATTATTAAGTGAACACACAAAATGTCTAATACCCATTTAGCTAACTGAGCTGCTTCACTAAATTTTTCGTTACAAAATTAAAAACATTAAAATAAAATGTCATACTTGATGTCCACATTAGCAGTAGCTTCATCTACAATCAAAATACGAGCATTCCGGAGCATGGCTCGTGCTAAACATAAAAGTTGTCGTTCACCAACGCTAAAATTGGTTCCGCCTTCTAAAACTGCTGCTTCTAATTTATCAGGAAACTCTAAACATTTTGATTTAAGTTGAACCTAAAAGAGCAAAAAAAAAAAAAATAAATAAATAAATAAAGAAAAAGTAAAAAAAATTAAACTGAATGAAAGATTGCATAAATCTTATTCAGCACATTGTGCTTACATGGTTTCTTGTTATTTTGACAAGATTCTATTTCTTTTGCTGTATTTAAACTATTTGAAAAATAGTAATACATAGTATGTTAAAATATATCATATTACACAAGAATATACAAAGGCTTATGATATTGTTGGAAAAAAAACCACATAGTTTTGTTTATGTACACTTTGTGTAACACACCAAATTCATGGTTGTAATAACAGACTTAATTGAGAGGGATTTTTCGGATAAAATATTATAAAATAGTGTGATTCTTTAGCGAGAAATTTCAAGTACTTTATTTTCAGCCTGTGAGCCATCATCTTCCAAAGAAGAATAAAGATTATCATTTTTCTGCAAAAAAACACTTTAGCCAATATTACAAGATAGTCATCTTTTTATTGCAAAGCATATCTGTTATTTTGTATTTTCAGTGTAATTACTGTCAAATTGAAGATTGCTTTTAAGTCTAGCAACGTAAATAATTAATATAGATATATTTTTGCTTTAAAGTTTGGTAGTTTATATATTAAATTTGTTTAACTGATAAATGATATTGAATTTATGATAGTACCTGACAGTTTACAAGGTGCAATATAAATATAAAATTTGTATTCAATTAAGGACATTTTAACAAAATAACATTCTCTTGGCAATAAGGATTCAAACCTCTTCTAGTGCTTTCCACAGATCCAAGTCATTGTGATCTCCAAAAGGGTCTAGATTTCTGCGAAGAGATCCACTAAATAATACTGGCTCCTAAATCAAGAAAAAGGTATTGCTAACTTGTTCAATAGAATAGAAAAATTTTACAGAAATTTAATGCAGTGAATGTTATAATAAAGAGATCTTTACAAGGGCTAGACATGCACGTCTCTGTTTCATTTGTAGTATAAACAGATCTCGTTAGATATATTTTAAGAGATCAATAAGGCATAAACTAACCATTTTGATTAAAAAATATCTATTTCAGAATAAAAAATTAAGTAATAATAATAATAATAATAATAATAGCAATAACAATAATAATAATTATAACAACAATAATAATAACAATAATAACAAAATCAACAACAATAACAATATTAATTGTAATAATAATAATAATAATAATAATAATAGAATAGGGAAATAATACAGGAATTTAATGCAGTGAATGTTATAGTAAAGAGATCTTTACAAGGGCTAGACATGCACGTCTCTGTTTCCTTTGTAGTATAAACAGATCTCGTTAGATTTATTTTAAGAGATCAATTAGGCATAAACTAATCATTTTTATTTAAAAATACCTATTTCAGAATAAAAAAATTAAGTAATAATAATAATAATAGCAATAATAATAATAATAATAATAATAATAATAAAATAATAATAATAATAATAATAATAATTATAACAACAATAATAATAACATCAACAACAATAACAATATTAATAGTGATAATGATACTAATAATACTAATAATAATAATAATGTATAAATTAGTTCATACTAATGTGTCAATTCTATTTGTCAGCGATAGAGACCTTTCTTATATATTTCTGTTATTATCTGGTGCAGACACACCACGGACAGAGAAAAAATGGGACGCAAATCGTGTAGTGAAGTAATTTGTAAAAGTAATCTACAAAAAAAATAAATAAATAAATAAAATAAAATAAAAAAATTGTAATTGGATTCACATATTATAATTTAACAAAAATATCTTCCCCATTCTCTAAGGGCAAGAAACAACCGGTGATAAGTTTGTTACTCCGATGAGTAGTGGTCGACGATGCATTTGGACCTTTCGTAAACCTGCCGTGCCAATTCTGAGCCGCCCTATAGAGGTGCGTAGTAGTAATCATCTGAGGGTTTTCATTATTTCTTTTAAAGGTTGTTTTTCCTGTTGTAAAATATCACAATATCAGTTTTCGCATATTTTATAGAACTTTTATAGAAAAGTTAGTCAAATTCGAAAACCCCTCCCTCGAATGATTACATTCCTTTTTCACAAACTCGATCGCGTTTACGAAGACGCAAAATTCTAGCGTAAGTGTAGAAACTACTTAATTTTTGGCACGGCGGCTCAGAGTTGGCAAAGGTGGTTTACGAAAGGGTTCTTGACACTAGACTAACCACTCCCACTTTTGTTCGTACTTTTGGTAGCATCTATCAGTATTCACAATGAAGATTTTTGATTAAACATTAAATAGGACTACCTGCGGTATTACTGAAATACTTTTTCGAAGGTCATGTAGTCCAAGGTTACTGGTTAGGACCCCGTCAATAGTGACCTTTCCTGTTGGTTCAGCCAAGCGTAACAGAGCTGTCATCAAAGAACTTTTTCCAGCACCAGTTCTGCCGGCAACACCAACCTTTAAGAAAAATTATAAACGTACACTTACATGTGGCTGTAGGGCTTGCTGGTTCGGGAATTTTTCACACAATTTTATGAATAAATGTGAGGTATGAGGAAATAAAATGGCTTTGTTTTATAATTACTTACCTTCTCTTGAGCCTGAATGCAGCAGGAGAGCTCTTTCAATACGGTTGGTCCTCCATTGAAATAACATAGCGATACATTTTCAAATGATATGAAACCATATCTAGGCCAATCTGAAGTAGGTTTAAAGTCATACTCAAGCGGAGCCTCAGATTCAATATCAGTGTACTCAAGAACACGCTCTGTTGATGTCATCTAAAGAAGATTAGACAACTTCCATTAAAACGAAAACAATTCCAAGGACAGTCAATTAATCAGTCAATTAAGTTAATATAACATAATATATAAAATACAAACATAAAAAATATATACAAACAATCAAAAAATGAACAATCGTGTACATGTACTGTTGCACAATGTTAGTTGTATAATAAGTCCGCATCTATATATTATTGTAAATTTTCACGAATTGCAGTCACAATAGTGTTTAAGTACACATTTTCGTGTTGTGTATTAATGCATAATACAATATTTGAACTAGTACTATTGAGAAGAGAAAGCTCATTAGAATGATTTGCTTACCAAATTCTCCATCTCAGCGCTCTGTCTGACACCCCATTGGAAGTCAATCATCAAACTTAATGCATAACTCAAAGACAAACCGACAGATCCTGAATTAATACTCTCAGAAACTGAAACCAAATCAAACCTTGTCTTACTCAAGACCCTCTGTATAAATATGCCTATGTACTGAGTAGTGCAAGCATGATGTTTGTAGAAAAAAGAAGTAAAACCTTTTTAAAATGTATTACAGCATTAATACATAGTTTTAAAACTAGGATAATACAGTAAATATTTTAATGTGTGGTCACCGTTAAATAAGTGTTTAAAAAAATGGAACAAAATATAAATATTTTTATTATTTTACTATTATATGATTAAATGATATTATTTATTACCTAACGTATAATCTTTTCCCAGGACTTCATTATAAAATATCAAAACAATACTAGTAAACATCTAAATATCATTGTACTTATCCTTCTTTTTGATCAAATTGAATTTTAAAACTAATATGATAAAAAAAGTAGTTGTTTTGACAATTGCAGACTTATTGTTGTGGCAATTGTTTACAAAAATTGTATAGTGCAACTTGGTAGGTAGGCCTATTTATCTTTTATCAATAATATCAGTGTGTCGATAATTATTTAGCATGTACACAATTCTAATAAGAACCATCGTGTAATAATACTCTTACCGTCGGACCGAATGATAGAGCCATATGTCACAACTACAATAAACACTAACGACAACCAGTCGAGCCAGAAACCAAAATATGTCGAGGTGGTTAGAAACATGTACCAGGCTTGTGTATGTGTGTCCTGGTAGCCCTCAAATTGATCAATAAATGGTCGTTGTACTTGGAATGCTCTCACTGTACTAATACCTTGTAGGGTTGCTGATAAGTGTGAAAATACTGGACTACGAGCTATAAAAAATTTAAAATCATACATTTATACTAAAATAATTTATGTAATTTTAAAATGAAATGCATGCATTTAAGACTTAGAATTAAGGAATTAACAATGAGGCTATTATTTAAAAATAATATGATGGTTGATATAACAAAAAATGTGTAAATTTACGTATTTTATTTTGAAAATTGTGATACATTTGAATTTTAGCATCTTCAGTAATTCAATTATATTATATTCAGTTTTAATATTTTATTATATTTTTTTAATTATGTATATGCTGACTGTATTATTTTATGTATTGTTCTGATTAAATATTTGGCAATGCTTGCGAATCTTTATTCATGACAAATCCGAATTAGAAAATCTAACCGTAAAATGTTCATCTTTTGTCTATAACGAGATAAATGATAAAATTAAGTGTTCATGTGCATTGAAAATGTTATAATTATTAATTTAATTTAAACTTACCTATTCCTTCAATACGTTTCACATCACGCGAGGTACTTAAGTAATACATTCGTACAAGAATGAAAATGAAACCAATTGGTACAACAAAAATGAATACAACAGGGTTGAATATTGATATTGTGATAATAATTCCAAAAACCCTCAATGCAATCTAAAAAAAACAACGTTCGAGTACATAAGTTTTAGTGAAAGTATTTTGTTTTATGTCTTTATTATGAATGTCAATCATAACTAATATGATCAGACACAAAATGATAAGCTCCACAATATTTAGCATCCTGTAATTGTTTCTTACCTGCACAATTTCTGCCACTGTAATTGGTAGAAGGTCATCCATGAATCCAATATCTCTGGCAAATCTATTTAGAATTCGACCTTGAGATCAATAATATAATTACAACCATAATGTATCAAAGAAACACCATATTTTTGTTAAATCATACTACAGTACTATAATGTATCAATCATACATCTTGCTCACACAGTACGGTGCTCACATCTATAACCATTTCACAAACATTCCATCCTCATAATTTCTTTTTGCATCACCGGCATCATGAATAATGCTTTGCCAGTGGCAGTGGACTCGAAAAAAAGGTCCAATCCATTTTTTGACGGCCACAATTTTCATTGAACATTTATATGTTGTTGTGGCTCTATGATTAATATAAAAATGATTAAGCAAGCAAGCACCACATTTCTTAAACAAACCATAGCCTGTTTAAACTCTTTAACACGTGCTCCGCGAGCCGGCTAGTCCGAGCAAATAGTAAATTGGTAATGTAATATTATTATTATGTTTTCTTCCCATTGCAAGGCCATCAGTTATCACTGACTACATTTATACAGTTTTCTTCAAATTGATGTAAAGGAGAATGCTAGATAAGACAATCACATAATCTTTCTATATGGAGATTTCGATAACGATCACAAATACATTGACAACTTTTCTGAGGAACACCGTTTAAATTAATTGGTACTGTCTTTATTTTGATTTAACTTTCTTTTTTAAATTTACTTCAATTCTAAGAGGTGTAATAATTACCAATTGGATTTGTGTCGAAGAATCTGATTGGTGCATGTACAATTGCATGAAACATCTGATTATGCAAATTCTTGGAAGCGTCAGTAGCAAGTATAAAAGTCATGAATGATCTAAGAAAACTTGTCACAAATAAAACAGCAATCAAACCACAAAATATGTAGATATACCAATTTGAATCTATCATGTACATAGTCATTGAATCATCTGTCTGCAAAAAATTAAACCCAATTGATTAACATTTTAGAGGAAATAATATTTACACTCATGAAATTAAACAATACATATATAGGCCTATTTTTAATATCTAATATATATATATAATGCATATTTATGTTATACAATTTTATTGCAAGATATTTTTGGCAGAACCACTCATCTCAGACGTTATGAGATGATGTAAGCCTACATGTTTAAAATTATGTCTAAAGATTTTTTAAAACGGCTACAATCTTATTATTTACAAATGAGACATACGTGTGGCTTCATCGACTACAAAGCGCGGATATGAACAGATATACATATGTAATTATCATTAACGAAATATTATTCTACAGTTATTAATAAAATGCTGAGGTGTAGAAGATAAGGATTGAACACAGTCACCACAATGGGTATTCTTGGGTATTGCTGCTAAAGTCCTACAAGACGACAGTGTTAAAACATATCCAACCACGTGCGTTTGTGGGACAACACGTATGAATGTGAGACGCGCGCGTATTCCTAGCGCTGTTCTGATTGGCCTTGTTAAGTTTGATTGACTCTTCGGAAAGGTCTATTATTAGATGATTTAGCAAACGAAATATATAATATAATGTCATGCTTGCTTACAGAATTCGAAAAATCAATGTCTTGTGTTGTTTCTTCTTTGTATACCCAATATGACAACCACCAATCTGATCCATTATAAACGGTCTGAAAGAGGGTATAATTTAACATATTTATTACAAAAAATTTCATTTATTTTCAATTATTCATACATGAGGTAGCTTAAAACACAAGAGGTAGAAAACTTAAAGAGATACTGTTTCTTCTTCCTCTGCAGGTTCCGTACACTATATAGAAAAATATATACTTCAAAACACAAATTACATCGTTTAACAAAACAATTATATTTAAAGGTGAAACACAGTCTAACATTTCTTCTACGTTTCTCATTAAAGATTTTTTCCTGCTTAGTATATGTTTTTAACAATTATGACAATTGAAGCGCAAAGATGCATCAAACGAACATGCTATAATAATATGTGCCACAATGTTGCTATTATTAGGCCTACCGTCTGTGTTGAGCAATTAAATTAAGAAAAATTCATGTTGTCTAAACTATAATGATAAACTGTTTAGTTTTAGCATTAGAATCTATATTAACTATCATTGAGTATGACATTTTAGAATTAAGGCGTGTTTATATAAAGAGTTCTAAACAGACTTGAGCAGAATATGCGCATATATACTTCAAAACACAAATTACATTGTTTAACAAAACAGTTATATTTAAAGGTGAAACGCAGTCTAATATTTCTTCTACGTTTCTCATTAATAATTTTTTCCTGCTTAGTACCGTATATGTTTTTAACAATTATGACAATTGAAGCGCAAAGATGCATTGTTGGCATCAAACGAACATACTATATGTGCCACAATGTTGCTATTTATATAGGCCTACCGTTTGTGTTGAGCAATTAAATTAAGAAAAGTTCATGTTGTCTAAACTATAGTGATAAACTGTTTTAGCATTAGAATCTATATTAACTATCATTGAGTATGACATTTTAGCATTAAGGCGTGTTTATATAAAGTATTCTAAACAGACTTGAGCAGAATATGCCCATTCTAAAAGTCGGTTGAAATTGAAATGAGGAAGAGTTTAAGAAACACTGAACTTCGTGAAGTGCCGATGTGCTATTAATATACATTGTGGTATTGTTTCAAATACCTATGTAAGTAGATACTATGCTTCGTTAGATTAAACCCTGCAGATGAAACACACGGACAACGGTGATGGAATTCAACCAGGGATGAGGGTCAGAAAATATCGTTATTTCAGTGCACAACAAGTGACTATGAACTAGCTAATAGCTGATTTAATCATAGTGCAACTATTTGTTCTATTGGTTCTTACCATAGAATTCTTTGATTTCAATGAACGCTGAGAACTAAAAATTGACTCCGCCATTAAACCACAAGTTGAATCATGAATAGAGCTACTAATTGTATCATCACCTATTGTTTCGCGTTTTTTAAGGAAGACGTTAAAATCAATCCCAGAAGACCGCAGTTCATCGTATGTGCCATATCCAGCTACCTGACCCTGAACATTAAAAACAAGTTTTGATTTGCATATATTGACCTTTAAGATACTGTCAATGAATCAAAGATAGTGATGGTATGTTTGGAGTACATGGACATGTAACATCGATGTGCTAGCCATCATTCCCATCGTTTGTAGTTTTTTTTTTCTAATAGTTTCATGTAAAATGGATTTACTTGACCTGGAGATAACAATATATAATACAATCTGCTAACCATATAGTCGTGTAATCATCTGTGTCAGTTTTAGTTGATAGGCCTACATGGCCTCTAATATTACAGTTAATAATAATATTAATAATATTCGGCCTAGTATTAAGAAAAATATGATTAATCATAATAGTTGAAGAATGACGACTACAGCGACGACGGTGACAGTGACAATCATGACGAATATGAAAACAACCACAATAACAATACTATCATTGACATCGTCACCGTCATCATCGTCATCATCGTCATCATCATCATCATCATCATCATCACCACCATCATCATCATCATCATCATCATCATCATCATCATCATCATCATCATCATCATATCATCATCATATCCTCAACATTATCATCATCATTATTATTAATATCAGTTTTATTATTTACTCTATCAACCTTCCAAAAATAAAACGAATAGGAAAGACAGATAAGTAAAGCTAATAGGCTACCTGATTGAAAATGGTAAAAATAACACTTACGTCTTTCATAACAAGTACCTTGTCAACACTTTCCAAGTACTGAAGTTGATGAGTTACTAATATACAAGGTTTATCCTTCAAACCCTTTCTAATACACCTGCAACAAGATAATCTGAAATTAATAACTCTCAGCCTGTGACACCATATGTACTGAAATACTAGTAGCCCGCCGTCGATCCGCCAAACAAGGGTTGGCATCATGAGCCTAGGTGGCAAACCAATCAATCGGACGAGTATGCACGCCGTCGGGACCGCTTCCAGTTCGCCGGCTAGAATTTGATACGCAGTCGATCCGCTCGAGTCGACCAAACGACTCGGTCGAACAGTCCGCTCGAGTTGTCTCTGTTGCAGCCGGCTGCATCTTTCAATCAGCACCAAATTCAAGAGGACTGCGATACATATAACATTGTCAATTTGTGAACATTCAAAATAAATCGGTAGCGTAGTTTTAGATTTACTATATTATATTTCAACTATTAAGCTAAATCCTCTGCATAGGTAGATGTGGGAAAAAACTAACCAATTCACTATGCCTGAAAACATACAACTCGACTTGTGCACATCAACGACAAGAACCTCTACATTAAAAATGAAGAAAGTAAACTTACACATCAAACAAATGCCGCCCAACTTGAGTGTCAACCGCACTTAAGGGGTCATCAAGAAGATAAAGTTCCATATCATTGTAAACTGCTCTTGCAAGGCCAATTCTTGCCCTTTGACCTCCACTAAGGGTAACTCCACGCTCCCCAACTAGTGTTAGATCTTTCTTTGGTAAATGTTTTAAGTCCTGTCAACAGAATTTATATCATTATGCAGCTAAAAATTATAACACTACTATTTTCAGAAATATCATTCTTTATTCAGAAACAAAAGAATGGATACACAAGATTAACAAACGCCTACCATAATTCTAAACAAATTTAACAATCAACAAATACAACAAAAAATGATCAATTCTAGAGATACCAGGATGAGCAAAAGTTAAAAAACTGTATCGTAAGACGAGCATGTCCAAACTAGAATTTACAAATGTTCATTAATTCAGCAAAAACATACCAGTAACAATAAAAATAAAAAATAATAATTTTAATTATACAAACATATACAACTGGGTGAAACTCTTTCCGCTACGATAGATCGATTTGCAATTTGAAATTATAGGGCCTACTTTTAATTCTACTTGGCCTACACCAGCGTTTTCCGCAAGACTGCGCATCAGCAGGCCCGTACGCAGCATTTTTATTGGGGTGGGTGCGAATTTGTAGAGAGTGGACCAAAATGGCAAGTAGGGTGGGGGGCGCTTAGGGGGAAACCCTGCTGGGATCAGGGGGACGGAGCTGAAGCATTTTTTTTTTATAATTTAAGGTCTTATTTAAGCGATTTCTGAAGACCTGCATGTATTAAACGGTTTTCAGTGGAGGATCCCAAAATTTGAAGAAGGAGCCAGGGAGGAGGGACTTTCAAAAATGGTGGAGATACCACCTCAGGGAAGAAAATCTATGATTATGGCACCTCAAAATGGCCGGAAATCGCACTCTCATACAATTTGAATATCATTTGTTTTTTCATTTTTTTCCTTTTGAAAAATTTAGAGGGGACGGAACACGTGGGCCTCCTTGAATCCGCCATTGTCAGTGGCGGATCTAGGAATTCGATATAAAGGGGGCAAGAAAACGACTTTCACGGGTTGAGGGTCTATATCTCCTCAGCCCCACCATGGTTAAGCTGAGGTAAGAAAATGTATGGCTATGTCACCTCTAGATGGCCAGATGTGGCACTTTCAAACTTAAATTTAAATAAATTTCTTTTCATTTAAAAAAAATTGACAATTACGGGGGAGGGGCACCACCACTTGGGGTAGTGCAGCATAGTCTAGAAGCACGAATACATTATTGAAAATGAAACCATCACATTCCTTTATCGCTGCTGCTGCTGTGCATGGACGTTAGCTTTAGGAATTCGAAATAGAGGGGGCAAGGAAAGGACTTTCACAAATTGAGGGTCTGAATCTGCGCCTGCTGCAGTCCATGAAATAGCCAGGATTTTTAAAAACATTGCGGGACAAAATTAGCATGTACTCTCTTTACGCGTAAATTCGAATAATGTGGACCCACTTTCTTAAAACTGGCATTTCATCAAAAAATTAAAAAAAATCTGGACCAATTTTTCTTAAATTTGACCCATTTTACGCAATTAAGAGAAATCTGGACCAACTTTTCAAAAAGTGGACTCATTTTGTGCATAAATCAGCAAAATTTAGACCCATTTTTAATTTCGAGATTACAAGACCTTGCTTTTGTAGTTCTGTTTCCATGGTTTACTTTTAGATTTGGGTGGGGTAACCCCTAAATTATAACGCGCTTATGGCTTTTTTGAAGCACACAGTGATGGATAGGACCACGAAACAATTCTTAGCTCTACTCATTCTATTTATGACCTACGTTATATCATCTTGCTCATTTTCAAATCACCCGGGAAAATTACCCATGGATTGCATTTTTGTCTTTATTGAAATGTTTTCATTGAACTTTTATTATGTTTTTAGTATTTTTTTCATTATTTTGTTTTTCTTCACGGGCCAAATTAAATTGCCTCACGGGCTAAATTTGGCCCTCGGGCCGCCTATTAGGAACCAGGGTATAGAATTTATAGATTAGTGAAAATATTCCTCTAAATGCTTTTTATATTTTATGAAATTAAAACAACGCAAAAACAGTTTTCCTATCAGCTTTTTCAGCTACAGAGGCATAGGTGCATGCCTTTATATGTGTAATTTTTGTCCAACATGAAAATACCCATATCTTAAGTTTCATTATTGACAAAAAAATAGATATAATTAACATTTGACAAATAATACAACCCCTTTTTGAGTCATCTAAAATGAAAAAAAAAAATACACACACACCCTTGTTCCTGCATTGCCACATCGAATAGCCTACCCAGTTAGATACACTAGCAATCATTTTCAACATACTCTAGAATCGTATTCACACATTTACTATTGTACTTACAGTTTTTAAAGCACAGGCTTCAATTACATGTTCAAACTGCTGTTTATTGTATGGTTTACCAAATAAAATGTTGTCTCTGATCGTGCCTGAGAGCACCCACGGAAGCTGGGATGCATAGGCTAGCCTACCAGATAAATTCACCTTTCCTGTCATGTAAGGTACCTCACCCAAGATTGCCATCAACAAAGAAGTCTACAAAAAAGTACACATCATTATTAACTTTTTTCTCATTATAGCTTAACTTTCATATATGAATAAAAACGATTAAACGCGCAAAGGTGTGCATGTGTACTCACTGCAGATATCTCACAAGACGACTATAGCCTATCTTCATTTCGACTACTACTGTTTAATGAACTATATCATTTATGTTGGTCTAAATGTTCAAACATAGATTTATTTTGCTGCTCTCATTCTAAACAAAACATGTTGACATCGGTAAATCCTTCTGCTCTAAATCTGAAAATATTTCTTGTCAACAATTTACTATAAATTATGCCCATCGTATTACTAAAACAAATAAAATGCAACAATAAATTATGATTCATTGCACTTACAGCTGAAATTTATGCAGAAAACTATTATCAAAAACTTTCAAAAGGACATCATATTTGCACGGTGTTTACAAATTAACTTTTATTGATGGTAGTAATTTTTCTTACATTAAATGTATATTTATATTGTGATTGACAAAAATATTGCAGTAATTTATTGTCCACAAGCGTAATATAATAGACATTTGCTTATGTTACCTTTCCACAGCCAACTGGTCCAACGACTGCCAGCAGCTCTCCAGATTTCACTTTAAAATTAATATTCTTCAGAACCAATCTCATTGACATTTCACTATTGGCCTAATAATGATTATAATTTAGAAAAATATTTTGTCAGATTTTGTTTAAATTCAAAGCATAAGAATAAAAATATTAACCACTAGTCTTTTGTTAAGGATTTTTTAGGTTTTCAATAGTACACATGAGCTAGTTGACACTGACGTACGCTTTTTATTTTAGTCCTAAGAAGATTTTGATCCAGTATTTTGCAACTGGAACCCTGAGTGGGATGTCAGATTCAATTTCGTGCCACTTTCGTATTTTAAATACACACAATTTTGTAAGAGGTAATGCATTTCTTGAATACCTCTTAAAAAACCGTAGAGTTCCTACTACAAGGTTGTTTTAATATGATGTTCTCTAATTAAAGCAATAAGATGCAAGCAAAGTAAGAATCGTTGCACTCTATAAGTTTCATAAACGATCCATGTATTTTTCTTTCGTATCTGAAATTAATCAGTGGCTATTTGGTTCTATTCATGACTATATCTCACCTGATCCCATGATGCTGATAGATCTTCAATTGTCACTTCTACATCTTGTGGCTTAGGTCGAGTGTTGATTCGTTGACCCCCAATAGCAGCTTGCTGAAGCTCTTCTAGCATTAAAAATGTCTAAAGGAAACCACATAAATCGTTCCAGAATTATAAACAAATCTTAAAGGAGAGACAAGCTCTATCTTTGATAGTATACAAATGTCGCATTATACTAACGCTGCGGTTTGTTAATCTGGTAGTAGTTATTGATTATACACTGAACTACAGTAGAGATCATGTGTTTAAATTTCACAAATGCTCTATTTTTTAAAGTTTAGTGCAAGTTTTGCGATAAATATTTCATTCATTGGTGCAATGTGCAATATATCTTTCAACCAATTCACCCAGTAACACCTATTACTAATTTACAAGCGCACATAAGCGTAAGCAGTATTTAATTCATTGATTATTAATTGAATTGGTGTCCTAATGCATGCATTGTATAAAGAACAATCTTACAATTTTACTAAATATAAAACAGAATTATATCAACAAAAATATAATTAATCAACTATTAAAATAATCTTAATAAAAAATAACGGAAGCATAATAGCTGAATTACAGTAAGTCTACTTAAATTAAAAATGTATATATGTTGTTCAATGTAAATGTTATTTTTTATTTGATAAAACAAGTTTAAATGTGTGTATCTTAAGTACGATGTAATAATGATTAAAAATAACACACTATCTTTTTACAGAATGTAATAATATCTAGAGAAAAATGTGATTAAACTAATAGTCTTTTATGTTATAATTGAAGTGCAATACATGTTACTTCTTGTGCTTCTTTTTAATCTTCACATTTTGGTAATTGCAAATGTCTTGTAAGCTATCGAAATAACACACAAGCTACTTAAATATATATAAGTGTTTAAATGGTAACGTTTATTCCACTTCAGTCGCCTACATGCATTTATATTCTACAGTAAAATTGATAAATAATTGCATATTTGAAAACTCACCCTTATTCTACGAAAGGAAACAAAACTTTCTGTTGTCATCATGATGCCATATGGGAAAAATAAAACCAACGACTGTCGTAGAACATTATATAATGGCATCGCCAGGTACACTTTACTTGCTGTTAGTGTGTTACCAGTAAGCGAATATACAGCGAAGGTGGCAAAACTAACCAGGGTGGTGGTCACAAAGAATAATGCTATAATCGAACCGCGAAGCAGCGAGCTCTTACGAATTTCTCCGATTTCACGCCTGAAATTTTGAAAACAAGACTGATAACAAATCAATATACCAAAAAGGGTAAACCATTCATTTAAATAGATACATACATAATGGTTGTAGAAATTGTTGTTAAATGTACATATTTTGTGTTCATACGTTAAAATGTTCCATAATGAAAATGAAAAAAAATGTTTGGCGATAATGGGCACACAAGAGTGGCCGAAAGTGCAGTGCTACAAAAAGATGCAACACCGCGTATAATAACCCCAAAATTGGGAACAAGGGTGTTATAATGCAAGATTGGCGACCAAAACCTGCCTACCTGACACATTTTTATACTCTGCATATCCAGTATGTTTTTTGGTCCGCGCGAAACGCTGACCCAGAGCCTTACTGTTGTTCTTGCTGTTGTTGTTGTTGTTTTAGTTCTTGTTACCAGAACATTTGGTACACATTTTTTTGTACACATAAACTAGAGGTGATTTCCAACAAACGTTCATCGCCCTTTTTTAAGTTGAACCCCAGGGTTCCCCCTACACCTACAAAACAAAACAGGGGTTTCAAACTTTCAAAACGTCCAGCGCCACCAGTTTTGAAGGGACGTGCGGGAAATTTTATGGTAAGCGTTATATGGGCACCAGTTCCGTCAGGTCATGAATAATTAATACCATCGTCATGAATTATTCATGATAGTCTGGGTTCCAGGCCCTAATTTTAGGTTACTCACTCTTTATTGCACTTAGTGCGCGCCATACATAATTTAATTGGCGTCCCATACTCGATTTCTTTTTTTTCGAATTAGGGCATGGGCAAACGATTCATGCGTACGATTTCCCACATCAAATTTGATGTGAGATATCGTATGCATGACTGATTTTGTAAATCACGTGACTGGCTAACTTTATGCATATTAATCAATCTTGGTAAACTTTCAAAATTGAAGATGCGGATGTCTCGACTCTCGACTAGAACAAGAACCAGCTCCCTTTTTGCTACCTATACTTGAATTAAAACAGTTTAGTATAGTTCTGGCCTGCTGAGAACGACATGGACTGATAACCGTAGGCTATAGGAACCTTGCTCACCGCTAGCTGCTACACAGATTTAGGCCTTTAGGGTAGAATATTGTTAAAAAGGTAGGCCTCNNNAAATACGCCAAGCCTCTACTAGTCTAGGCTAGGCCTACTCCTGACTCCAGACGAGGCCTGATCCATCCTCCTGGAAAGTTTTGTTGTATTTGTATGGTATGCCATCTAGTCTAAGCTTAATTGTTTTGCCATTGCCAAAATTAGTCTTACTAGGGTCTATTCTAAATATTTTAGGCCCGTTTTATTAGGGAGGACTATTTAAATTTAGTCATGCCTAACTAGTCGACGCGAGTGACTCAGTTTCGTGGCT